TGACTAGTAAAGCACTATACAAATACAGGCCATTTTTACCATTTTTGTGCTGGCATTCCAAAGGAAAAAACCCCCAAAAGCATCTGAGGAACAACTTAGAGAAAAACAGGGCAATGGAATACACTACCATGGGAAGAACAGCAGAGACTTCTAAAATAAATACACACCAGGTAATATAGGGGGGGGGACACAGCTGTAACAAATCACGTCAATCAACTAAGCAGAGAAGCTAAAACTCAGAACGAAGTACATGAAACACAGGACTATCATAATAAAACAGGAACTAACACATACCCTGAGACCCAGACTAAGGCTTATGAACTTGATACAGGTGATAAACAAGCACAGTGACCAGATAGAAGTAAGAGAATGAAAGAGGAAACCAGACAACCATGCAAACAGGAGACAGAGAGACCAGACAGAAAGGGGGGCATGACTGGGAACACAGAAAGGGATCACAAAAGACGATACCTAAATATTGCATAACCAAAAAGATAAACTATAATACAAACAGAGGATATAATAAATGGCAAAGAAATATAGAAGCCTGACTAAAATTGCAAAAGAGCCAAATTAAAACAAGTGACCCTCAAAACCATAAGGATTCACTAAATCCACAGAGAAACACAAAGCCTTGGGTTCAAGACCCAGAAAGCATGACACATTTTACACGAGTGAATTTAAAGAAGTGTTTCTTGTTACGCATTGAAACCAACTTGAATGTGCCACCTCATGCTCAGACATGTAAATCCACAGATTTAATATGCATATCTACACATCACATAACATGCATAGCTGAAATATCAGGGACTCTGACTTGATCAGTCCTGCAAGCAGGAACCTGGCACAACACATGTTCACGCAAACAAAAGACTCCTCCACAAAAATACAATCCCGGCGCCAGCTTTAATGCATCTCTGTAAATCCTGCTGAGGTCAAATGGTCTGTGATGACTCGCTGCACAAGGACCAGTCCACAGCTCCGAAAAGATTCAGACACATCTAAACACTGCCACAGGTGTTCTTATTAATTTAATTAAAATGACAATAAAAATGTCTTCATAGATATGACATGAATAATCAACACAAAACAGCTGATAACCTAACAGTGGAGAGTGGCAAAGGCTGAATGAACACTGGTTCCACTGAAATATTTTTTCTTGTCCTACTCCTGAAATTAAGTGAAATATGTGAATGTTTGCATTTAATATTCACTTTTCAATGCCAATATTTTCTGACACTGATAGCAAGCCTATAGGAAACCTCCAAAACAACAGCACCCTGTCTACAGGGAAATGCTAAACAACTCAGCCCAACACTGGCACAAAAATAGTCCCAAATGCCATTCTACTTTATGCAAATTAGCCAACTGGTATCGTCATACAAACAGCTCAGCAAGAGAAAACAACCTCATGCAAACATTTTAAAAAATAGATGGATTCTATTGCATGCAGTGGTTAGATGTTACAATATAAGGCAGTAGCAGTAAATAGAGAGAAGACTTCAGCCTCTGTTGGACATATTAGCACAAGCAGCAAACAAAAACCTACCTGTGGATGCAGCCAACTGACATTAGCAGATGAACCTTTTTCGTAGAGTGGGAAAGGCGTGAGTTGTCCGGTGCAACTCTTCCTATTGGAAACGAGCAAAGGAAAAGTATTTATGTTTATGAAAGTAACTATTATAAAACCAAAAACAACTTTTAGCAAGTTTGCTTACTTTCATGGTAAATGAGTGCCAGGTATTCACACCCACTGTTAAGCAGTCAGCAGGTAAGAGAACAGCCGAACGGTGGGCGGGGCATAACAATTTAAGTATATAAAAAAAGAGCATTGAGGCACGGGCAGTGTGCCACATGAAGGAACCAGCTCTAAAAATGTCCTTTTAGCAAATTGCAGTTCATTTTCCAGCCACTATGATAGACTCACCTGCTAGTGCAAACATTTTCTTGGCAGCAACTATTGTATTTAGGCACGTTGACATGGTCAAGATAATCTGCTGGCCTTCTGACCAAGCTGACTCTGAATGTGGTTGTTTGTTCCAGAAGGGCCAGACTGAGTGTTTTGGGAACAACTGATCTACTCTGATTTTCTAACACAACCATATCTGGGATTTAAAAGAAATATATCCAGTAGGGGTGGGCGATATAAACGATATACTATAGAAACGATATAAATTTGACCAACGATAGAGATTTTGATCTATCGCGATAGCGCATGTTGATGATGTCATCAAGCTGTGCCTGTTTTGGTCGAAAGCATCGCAGCGGCTACAATCAAATTATGCCGGTGAACAGATGTTAACAGAGATGATATGGGGAAAGCCAAAAACTGCGCTTCCTCCACTTCTGTAACATTGATTCATTAATATTGAATTCTCTCTCAGCTCTTCTATTCCCATATTGTTGCAGTATATTAATAACTAACCTCTTATTGTGGATGAATAATCTCAGTTGTTCTCCTGACTGAAGTTTGCCCCGTGTATAGCATCCTGCTATTAGATTGCATTTGTCCCTAACCACCAGAATCCCTCACGTTAACTTTTATCGAGTGGAAAAAAAGTTGGCGTTCATCCTCCAGCTTCACTGTGCTAATGTTATGCTAACATAGCTGTGTTGCTAGCAATCACGTAGCACAACATTATATACCAGGTAGTCTAACTTCATTAACCCTGCAAACGCCACTGCTGTTTAGTTGTCTGTCTTCATTTATGTTGGAAGTGGTAGCAGAGCTGTACGTTTTAATTAGTTTCAAAAATCTCTCAGAACATGGTATGTCATGTTTAGGTGGAAACTAGCGAGCTAACTTCCTGTTAACTTGTAACTCCGTTAAATTTAATAACTTCTGTTTTCATGGATGTTAAACTTAATTGTTGCACCTGGTAAAGCAGCAACGCTGATGATTTTATTAAAGATGAAATAATTTAGACCGTTTTTAACTCTCAGTGTTCGTTTGACTTTGGGACCTGAAGCCGATGGAGTTTTGGACCCAGATGACTCCGCGAAGCTCCTCACCACAGCAGCCATAATGCTCTGACAATCCATCAAGCAGTGCGGCTTACCAAAGTTGTACTAAAACATTTTTAACAGATTTTTGCATGCCAAGATCGGTTCGAGGTTAGTAAGCACAACCAGAATTCATACATAAGGCACACTCTCGATTTTTGAGAAAATTAAAGGATTTTAAGTGTGCCTTATAGTGTGGAAAATATGTTATACCGAAGAAAAGAATATATCGCGATATATATCGTTACCGCACGTGCTTCAAATTATACCATGATATGGATTTTAGGCCATATCGCCCAGCCCTAATATCCAAATACCTTAAAAAAAAAAAGAAAAAAGGCTACATTTCACTGTGTGTTATACTTGTATAACTATGCATGTGACAAATAAAGAACCTTGAACCTTGAACAGTGAACGGCAGTTCTCTGAGTTTTGATTGTTAATGTACTGACAATGAAGTACAACTTTTTCAAACTCTATCTTCTCTATATCATGGTCAACATGTTGACCAAGGATGGTTAACAGGAGAAAACCTTTCTGGTACAATGATAAACCACAGAAACTCATTTACTTGCTAATGCTAGCTGGAGCTTGCAAGGAAGCGCAGATCGTAACTGATCTCAGAGCTGTGAAAGCAGGGCCAGTGGCAGCATGCCTGCTGTCTTGGTTTCCCTTAGTTTACTGTCAAAGACATGAATGTTATCTACAATGGCCATGCGCAAACCACCAGTCACCCTGTTCCAATCAGTGTTAAGGTGAGACGGGCACACCTTCAGAGACACCTTGCTATGAGATTGAAATAAGCGTAGCTTTGAGGGGCAAAAAAACAAGTGAACAGATGCACATATTAAATGAGATGAGTTTTTAATTCATGGTTTGTCCTGAAGAAATATTACTGTGAGGTGTACCAACCAAATGGCCAGTGAGTGTAACAGGCTGACTTGTGGAAAACCAACCAAACTGCAAAAAAATGTTATAAGGAAAAACTTTTTCATACTTATTTTATAAACCAACACTTTTTTGTAAAACGGTTTGTAAAAAGTTTTCTTCTTGAAAACCAGAAATGAGGTATCATGAAATTAAAAAATTCAAGTGTAATTATATGAGTATGCATGTAAGTGGAGCTGTAGAAAATCTGTACTGTTTAGGAAACTTTCATCTGCAAACTCTGCCAGGTAAATGCCACCAACAATGTTATGTCAATATCAAATAGATGCATGCATTCACATTTTTTTTCTATAAATTTTGACTAAATTCATTTTTCAAAGCTTAAGATTTCTGTTTTAATCCTCTGCAAATACGTTAAACATAACAATATAACAGAATTACACAACACAGACCATACTTTCATTACTGGGGTTTATTAGAATGGCACTACTAAAATGAACACAAACATGAAAAAGATTGGTTCAAACCAGCAGTTGTCAGTTAAAAAAAAAAAATCAGAGACTTCTGAACACTATAGTAAAATGTGTTTTGACTGAGTTGTGATGTAGACAGTTTATTCGCATTTGTTGAAACCATGTGCACTGTGGAGGAGCAGAATGAGCACATGAGAACAGAAAGGGCCTCCAGCAGGCCACTAGTGTGAATGTCTCTGACCAAAGATTAAGAGACAGACTTCATGAAGGTGGCTGGGGCCTGACATCCTCCAGTGGGCCCTGTGCGTATTACCTGGCACCTTTTAGCATTCGCCATAGAATACCAGAATTGCCACTAGCCTTGTGCTTTTCAGTGATGAGAGCAGGTACACACATTAAAGGGTAAATGGTAAACTGACTGGATCTTATATAGCACTTTTTTTCTATGCTCTTTCTATTTAACATTCACACACATTCATACTCTGATAGAGAGCAATTTGGTGTTCGTATCTTGCAAAAGGCTGCCCAGCCAAAGATATCTGGCATGCACACTGGAGCAGATAGGGATCGAAACACCAAGCTTCCAGTTAGTAGGTGACCATGAGTAAACATATCCAGGATGATTTTTCTTTTTCATTGAGATCACAGACACTGTGACACCGACTTTTGCTAATTATTTCTTCCACACACATTTTTATTACAAAATGATATGAAGAAGAAAATCTTCACACACACAATAGAAAATATGTTGTTCTGCTCTAGAAAATCTGTCACATTTGATTGTTTCTTTAACTCAACATGGAAGCTATGTTTTTACCCAAACAGATGACTCGTGACTGCAAAGCAGTATAAAAATTGTTTCCCGTATATGATTGAAAAAGTGAATTGAAGCCATTTCAGCTCACAGGCACCGGCCACATTTCACTCCATCCACACTTCTGCCCTGCCGGCTCTCTGCCATCTGGCTGTGATAGACCCGTGAGTCCACAGTGGGCTAATGGTTTGGGAACCCTGGCATGGGAAAGGGCCTGGCAAAAGCTTCAACACGGTGGCGCAGATCTGCGATGCGAGCCACCGTTTCTGGGTCCTGAAGAAGGAAGTTCTTGAAGTCCTGGAGCTTTCCTGCAAACAACAACAGAAAAGAGAAATGCTCAGATGTTTATTCTTAGCTTCCTCTGTTTCACTACCACTGGGCATTTTGTCTTCTCTCATGCAGCAATTTTAAAGACCGTGCACTATAATTGACTTTATAAATTCACTAATGCTATTACAGTTAATAATGAACAGTTTCAAACTGTGCTTTGGTAAAAAGAGTTTAAACATGTTTTAGGCATCCACTGAGCTACAGATTAATCTGCCCCCCTCCTCACAGCAGGCTCACCTGTCTTTTTCTTGACATCCAAGGCAATCTTGAAACCCTCATCCATGAACTCGACAACTTGCACAAAGTCAGCTTCTTTGAACTGTCTCGAGGTCAGGGCTGGAGCACCTGACAGAGAAGAACACATCACTCAGGTTGAAATAGACTATGAACTATATGCTTCCTTTTCTGCTTTTCCAGTTTTACGTTTTTTAAATTCTTGTTCTTGCTTTTTTTCTGCTAATTTGGCCATATAGTGTTTAAAAATAGTATAGACTTGGAGCTTCTTAAAAGGTCAGTAATTAATCTATACAGATTTGACTACACAAATACTAATGGCTGCCACAGTGCAGGACAAAAGAGAAAGTAATAAGTGCAGTGCATTGGATTACAGGTACGAAATATTGCCTTAAGATAATGCTAAAAATGAGGGAGTGTAGATGAGAAGCTCTTGAACTTCCTGGAAGATGATTAAAAAGCCAAACAAGTTTAATTAATCATGAACAGCTCAGTGCTTGTGGCTTAATTTGTGGCTGACTAATTTCCATAGGCAGAACTACATTTTTAAAAAAGCAACACAGATTAATTGAAGAAGGTGGTGAATGTAAAATAAATCTGACAAAAAAAACTTTATAACATTGCTGAACAACTGATCGGTTTCTTTTAACATTCAAAATGAATATACAGGGAAGCGCATGGTTTCACAACACCCCTGGTGTGTGTTCGGCCAAACACAGTGTGATGTGAAGCTGCTTCTTACCTAGTCTGAGGCCACCAGGCGCCAGGGCGCTCTTGTCTCCAGGGCAGGCAGTCTTATTGGTGGAGATTGACGCAAGCTCAAGTAACCTCTCAGTCCGAGCCCCGTCAACATCCCTGGGCCGCAGGTCCACGAGGACCAGGTGGGTGTCGGTCCCACCTGGAATTTTTAACGAGGACAGAAGCATGTTGTTTTGTAGACACACAAACCTCGCTGTGAAGCATTTGATCACAGCACCTTGTCACACCAATGTATGAAACACAGATATTAGATTTAGCTTAAGAAGGAGTACTGCTTGACATTTTCTCCTCTTTTATGTGCTTATCTGATTCATGCTATTTATACATTTCACAACGCTGAAACCAAAAAAGCCAAATTAGATTTTGTTCATTTAATAAGATTTAAGTGTGAAGGAGACAAATAGATCATTTATTTGGATCCCTGTTAGCTTCCACTCTTGTGGAAGCTAACAGTAACAGTAAATGCACATGTTCCTGGAATACAGGCCGTCAAAATGCACTTTTTTAAGTAGGACACGTAAAAGTCTAACCAATAATAGTGACAACCACCAAAGGTATTATAAATATCTTTATTCTAGACATAATAAACCAAAAAACCCACAATAATCCGAGCTGCTGGATGACTGTGTGAGGCAGTTTTTTGTTTTCCTTTTGTTTTCTTTCTTTGTTTTTTAAGTGAGGACTCACTTAATTGCTGTTATTTAGGACATGAGTGGATAATTATGTGTTCAGAGTATCAATGGAAGTACCTGATAATGTTGCTTTCTTTAAAAACATGGATAAGTCATTACACAACCTGTCAGCTAGTTTACCTTGCCTGGGCTGCAGGATTTGCTCATTAGTTCACAAATTTGTTGGTTATGGACAAGATGACTTTTATACTGATACTTTTTTATCTTGGTGCTCCTTACATCAACTATACAAAGGCAGCTCTCCACAGCACTTCATTTAATAGTTAAACATTATGAAAATCTATCAGAGTAGCCCATGTGCAACTGTGTGTAATTCTACTACTCTGGAATTATCATTTACAAGTTCATAATGTACAGAGTTCAATTTTCAAGATGGCTGACCATTAAAATAGAGAACTCTACAACATAAATCTCAAAAATCACCCCCAAAGAGAATGACAGTGAGGAGATTAATGGGATAGAGTAAATCACAGGCCAAGCGTGTTCTGGACTGCGTTTTCTTTTTTCTTTTTTTGCTTGTTTGTTTTCTTAAGCAAACATTATGTCTGAAGAATGCTGATAATTAGACAACATTTAGGAACTGACAGCATTATTTATAACCTGTGGTGGAACAAGAATATTTTAGGCCTCTTCCCACTTTGTTAATGACGCTCTCCATTAGCTGAGACTATGGAAGGTAGTTGTACAGTGTACCTCCTAGTAATTAGATCGTATGAACTTATTCTAGCTTTGTACTGAGAAAATGCAACTGGGATATGTTAACTAATTAGATTCCACTTCCAGTTTACAAACGTTATAAGATAAGATATTATTAGTCTCTGTGATAGTTTGTCACCTGAAGGGAACTTAATCAGGAAAGTCAGACAGGAATTGTCTTTAACAGTTGAAACTAAGTCAACCAACATTTGTATAGGGTTTGTAAAAGCACTGAATTTGTGTTTTACTGGTACGGTCTTTCACTCTTTCCAGTTATTTGGCTAAAACATTTACTAAGGGATTAAAGAAGGGTGTATGTACACACTGCAGAGTAAGCACAGGACAAGTCTGTATTTTTAGAGTATCAATTGAAGGCTATACATCAAAAAACAGCTGAGGCCAGCGTATTGGATTCAGTACAAGATTCAGGCATTTGCTCACAACCGCAAAGTGACCACTTTCATCTGATTTTATTTTCTTGACTGACAAGGCAGGCGCAGCGACATTAGCCTATTTGCACATCATGAATTTAAATGGATTTGTGCTTTTTTTCTTGCTGTGTAATTTGCATTTTGTTACAGGACATTTTATGTGAATTTTCAGTGTTAAATGCTCTGTGCTGAGTCTGTGACTTGGAAAATAAAGAATTGAGTAAATACACACTAGATTACCTGATACCAGAGTGTAGCCTTTGCTGAGAAGAGCTGCAGCCATAGCCTTGGCATTCTTTAGCACCTGGTCAACATACTTCTTAAACAGGGGCGACTGTGCCTGGACACACAGAACCAAAACCATACAGTAAGTTTATCATTTGGCTATCAAAAATAGATACAGACATCAAGAAACTGTATGATGTAACTGCATCATGTCTAAAGTTTTATTAACAAAAACTAATGTTATATGCATCTTGTGACAGAACAGATTACTTCCCCTCTGCTGACTGAAGTTTATGCAACATGTTCTTAAGGTTGTGCAGACCTGTCTGAGTGCCACTGCTACAGCAGCAATGGCATGGTTATGAGGTCCACCCTGCAGGGAGGGGAAGACAGAAAAGTTGACCTTGTCCTCGAGGTCGTACATGATTTCCTTTCCCTTTTTGTCAACTGAGCGAACACCCTTCCGATAGAAGATGAGACCAGCCCTGGACAGAACAGAATCTTTTACTGATGAAGCACTTTTACTATTCTCTAAAAACCAAACCAGGTTTGCTTCTCAGTAATTTGATTTTTGTTCCCACCCGTGTCTCTTACAGTTTGACCTTACCTTGCTCCACGGAGGGACTTGTGCGTGGTGGAGGTGACCAGGTCGGCATGTTCAAAGGGCGAGGGGATGGCTTTGGCTGCCACCAGGCCAGTAATATGAGCCATGTCAGCAAGCAGGTAGGCATTGATGTTGGTGCACAGCTGGAAGAAAAAGAGGCAGGATGAGGAAACAGTTATAAAATTAAGACCAACATGTATACACATGTGGCAGGAAAGTTCCAGTTTTTTTCAATACAAGATCAATATGACAAAGACCAAAGAATTGATTGTGGACTTTATGAGGATCAGGAAACATGTGACCCCTGTTTCAATAATGGAGGTCGATGTGGACATTGTGGAGAACTATAAATACCTGAGAGTACACACCGACAATAAACTGGACTGGGTTAAAAACACCACTGCGCTCTACAAGAAGGGCCAGAGTCGTCTGTATTTTCTGAGGCGGCTGACGTCTTTGAAGATCTGTCAGAAATGCTCAGAATTTTCTATGTCTGTTGTGGCTGCTGCCATCCTCTATGCTGTTGCATGGTGGGGCAGCAGGTTGAGGGTCGCAGATGCCAACAAATTCAATATACTGATCTGAAAGGACAATAATGTTGTGGGGATGGAGCTGGACTCCCTTAAGGTGGTGTCGGAGAGCCGAATTTTGTTGAAAGTAAGGACAATGCTGGGCAATACCTCCCGCCCACTCATCTGTGCTGACCAGTCACAGGAGCAGTGTTAAGTGAGAGACTAAGATCACCCAAATGCACCACTGAAAGACACAGGGAATCAGTCTCACTGTACAACTCCTCCATCTAATACACAGTGCAATAGTTATACCCTTAATATTTGCACACCCTCTACTGTGAAAATAACAAAAATAACAACGTTTTACCTAATAAAGTTTCACCTACTAACAGGAAGGTTGGTGGTTCGATCCCAGGTCTGCTCCAGTTGGGCAAGATACTAACCTCCATGTTTTCTCCGATCAGAGTATGAATACTCCATTGGTGTATGAATGCGTGTGTGAATGTTACAAAGGAAGCATTTAGTAACAGCTTAGAAAAAGTGCTTGTGTGAAAGGGTGTGAATGAACAAGTTGTGTAAAGTGCTTTGAGTGCTCAGATAGAGTAGAAAAGCGCTATAGAAGGACCAGTCCATTTACCATTTAGATACAGCCACTTAAAATAGCATCCTCACAGGACAGGACCATGATGGATACCTAGTGGATTCTTGACCAATTGATCCGTGACTGCAATGATATCCCCCGCTGCCAGGAATGTTAACCCCCCCAAGGAGCATT